ATCCCGTTGATTTTCTCATTCACTTTCGGCATCTCCATGACAGTGGCAGGTCAGGTCCTGAGGGTGGAAGGGGCCTTGACTGATAGGTTCATTTTGTATCCCTTATACCTAGAATAGTATCTGTCTAAATGTAATTTTTGAAAGAATGAATAAATCAGTGATCAAGGAGTAGGATGCTGAAGCTAGGAACAGTATTTTTATATTTTGGTTTGTTGGTAGGGGAGAGAAGTGTGAACTCTGTTTTGGATATGATAAATTTTAGGAATACAGGTATTAAGTATAGGTAAGAATGTAGATATGCCCCACTGGTCATTAAACACATGGTCGGTACAGATATCCAGCTGGCCATTAGACATACAAGTCTGACGCTCAGGAGGGAAATTACACTAAGAATAGCTGGGCTAGGGGCCAGCAGGTGGTGTGGAGGTTAAGGGCATTACACTCCCACTTGGCCAACCACGATTTGAGTCCGGGACCTGGCAGATTGCTTTCTTTTTCTTTCTTTCTCTTGTTCTTGCTCTGTCTCTCTCTAGTCAAATTAAAATAAATAAAGTTGAAATAAAACAATTTTTAAAAAAGAATAGCTGGGCTAGCAGATGGCTTGATGGTTGAGATGTTGGTCTCAGACACGGCTGACCACGGTTTAAGTCTCGGACCTGGCAAACCGCTTCCTCACTTTCTCTGTTTCTCTCTCTCTGGTGAGTACATTGTACCCTATCCTAAAAAAAAAATCGAGTAAATCTTTAAAAAAAACCCAGTAAGAATAGCTAACATTACTCAACACTATTGCCTATCTTTGTTTGAAACCCTTGCCTGATGTCAGTGGTATATAGGTTTATGGGAATGGAAGGTGAAGTTGTTGAGTGGACCTGTCAGCAGTGTGCATGAGAAAAAAGTGACTACATTTTGGGGAATACCAGTAAGAGGTGAGTAAAGGAAGAGGCAACCAGATAGGCAGGAAGATATCTCAGAGTGTGTCTAAGAATCCGGGGGAGGGTTTCAGGGAGCAGCGATTCCTAGTTATCACAGAGATTTGAAAAGTGGCTGAGAACATCAGCATCATAGAAATGACACGGAGGGGGCCAGCAGATGGCGTAACGGCTACACTGCTGGATTCCCATGTACTCAACCACAGTTCCAGTCTCGGACCTGGACACTTGAAATTCCTGCT